TTTTTTGGGGGGGCCAAACGTTGGGAAACACGGACACAAATCAAGGCTCTTCCATGGACAAACCCAGATGTGTCCCTGTGTCCATCACCAGGGAATCCCAGACTGGTTTGGGTTGGAAGAAACCTCAAATCCCACCCAATCCCACCCCCTGCCATGGGCAGGGACACCTCCCGCTATCCCAGGCTGCTCCAAGCCCCCTCCAACCTGGCCTTGGACACTTCCAGGGATCCAGGGGCAGCCACAGCTTCTCTGGGCAACCTGTTCCTTCCCTGTTCCCACGTCCCTTCCAGCTGACACATTCCCTGGTTCTATATCAAAGGAATGTGGTGTTTACCATAAAACCCTTCCCAGAGCATCCCTGGATCCCCTCCCTGCACGGCTCAGGGCTCTCCATCTCTTTTCCCCCCCCCAGAACACGCTTTCCTCAGGAAGTGGCTCCTGCTCTCCGACCCAGAGGATCTTTCCGCGGGGGCCAAGGGCTACCTGAAGGTCAGCGTCCTCGTGCTGGGGCCTGGGGACGAAGCTCCTGTGAGTATCCCCCTGGATCCCGTGGGACCTTCCACCCTTCCACCTCCCCGGGCCGCCAAACATCCCTTCCCAGGGAAGCAGCACCTTGGGTCTTCCTCCGTTTCGGGGGCAAAGAGCTGCTTTTTGTCGTGGAATCCCAGCCATGGAATCACAGCCTGGTTCGGGCTGGGAGGGACCTTAAATCCCATCCCACCTTCCACTAGCCATGGAATCCCAGCCATGGAATCACAGCCTGGTTTGGGCTGGGAGGGACCTTAAATCCCATCCCACCTTCCACTAGCCCAGGTTGCTCCGAGCCCTGTCCGGCCTGGCCTTGGACTCTTCCTGGGATGGGGAATCCACACCTGTCTCTCCTTTGGGGTTTCCCTGCTCGTCCCGGGGCTGTTGGGAAGCCTGGTTGAGTTTCCCTTCTCTCCCTGTCCCCCCTTGCAGCTGGAGAAGAAGGAGGTGTCCGAGGACAAGGAGGACATCGAGGCCAACCTGCTGCGCCCCACCGGGGTCACCCTGCGGGGGGCCCAGTTCTGCCTCAGGATCTTCAAAGCCGAGGATTTGCCCCAGAGTAGGTGTCATGTTCCCTTCACTTTGAGCGCCCTGGATCCCTCGGCGTCGCGGCGTTCCGGGCAGGAATTCGGGCTCAGGGGAGGGAATTATCCACAGCCTCGGTCCAAAGACCTTCTCGATGTGCTGGGAGATGGGTCTGCTACTGGTGCAAACTGGTTTTGTCCCCCTGGGGAGTCTCTCCCCGATGGAAAAGCCGGTGGGACAGCCGGGACCGGGCGGGCGCCGCTCCCGGAATTCCTTGAGCTTCAGGGTCTCCCCCTCCTCCTCCCAGTGGATGATGCTGTCGTGGACAACGTCCGGCAGATCTTCGGCTTCGAGAGCAACAAGAAGAACCTGGTGGATCCCTTCGTGGAAGTCACCTTTGCCGGCAGGACGGTCAGCGGGGCCCGGGCAGGGCTGGGGGGGCAGGGGGGGCTCCCTCGGGATCCTGGGAATGGGATGGCAGTGGGATAGTCCCTGGGAATGGGATGGCAGTGGGATAGTCCCTGGGAATGGGATGGCAGTGGGATAGTCCCTCCCGGGTCCCTGGAGCTGGGATGGCAGGGGAGTGTTCCCTTGGGATCCCTGGGGCTGGGATGGCAGTGGGACACTCATTCCTGGGTTCCTGGGGCTGGGATGGCAGTGGGATGTTCCCTTGGGATCCCCGGGGCTGGGATGGCAGTGGGATGTTCCCTTGGGATCCCCGGGGCTGGGATGGCAGTGGGATGTTCCCTTGGGAGTTCCTGGGGCTGGGATGGCAGTGGGATGTTCCCTTGGGATCCCCGGGGCTGGGATGGCAGTGGGGTGTTCCCTTGGGATCCCCGGGGCTGGGATGGCAGTGGGATGGTCCCACCCAGTTCCCTGGGGCTGGGACACCAGTGGAGTGTTCCCTCAGGATCTCTGGGGCTGGGATGGCAGTAGGATAGTCCCTCCTGGCTCCCTGGGGCTGGAATGGCAGTGGGACAGTCCCAAGGGCTGGGATGGCAGCAGGATGTCTCCACGACTGGGATGGAAGTGGGACAGTCCTTTCCAGATCTGTGGAGCTGGGACAAGAGTGGGGTGGTCCCTTCTGGCTCCCTGGGGCTGGGATGGCAGTGGGACAGTCCCTCCCAGTTCCCTGGGCAGGGATGGCAGTGGGGTGTTCCCTTGGGATCCCTGGGGCTGGGATGGCAGTGGAGTGTTCCTTTGGGATCCCTGGGGCTGGGATGGCAGTGGGGTGTTCCTTTGGGATCCCTGGGGCTGGGATGGCAGTGGAGTGTTCCTTTGGGATCCCTGGGGCTGGGATGGCAGTGGGACAGCCCCGTTCCCAGCCCTATTCCCAGCCCTATCTCTGTGTGTGTGACATACTGGGTTCCGTGTGGTGCCACCAGAGCAGTTTCTCCTCTGGGCACTTCCTGGTGCTGATGCCTCACAAACGGGTCTGGAGAGGCTGAACCCACGAGCTGCCACCTGCCCTTTGAGCCACAGCAGCACTGAGGGGCTGGAAGTCTCCTCTTCCCATGGATCTTCCCATGGGAACACCATCTGGGGGGGGAACACAGGCTTGGGACATCATTCTGGTGGTCCTGAGGTGGGGAGATCCCCGAGCATCCCCCAGCATCCTCTGCCTCCTGCACTGAGGGGGCTGCAGAGCCCCACGGGGTCGCCCATGGGATGGAGGTGGGATTTTGGGGATCCTGAGGCTTCCCAGCTCCCGGGGTGGTGGGAGCAGCACTGACTGTTCCCTCCTCCGTCCCACCCCTCCAGCTCTACTCCAGGATCCTGGAGAAAAACGCCAACCCCCAGTGGAACCAGTGCCTGACCCTGCCGGCCATGGTGAGCAC